GCGTGGAATTCCGGTGGAGCTTTCCCACCTGGCTCTTCCCCAAAATCCCAGCTTCTCCCAAGCCTTTATCCAGGTTTTCCCTCTTTTTCCTCTCCAGGACTTTCCTTCTACACCCGAGTGCTGGAAAACTGCGAGGACGAGGCCAAGTTTGACGAGGTAGGAGAAGTTTTCCATCCTTTTTTATCCCAGGAATCCCACCGGCTTTCCCGGGATTCCCCGTCCGGGTGAAATCCCCACTCCCAAGTTTTGTTCTTTGTCCTTTGCTCCAAGGTTTCTCCTGGATTCCTGGCTGGACACGGGCGGGAAAATCCCTAAGGAATTTTCCAAGCCGTGGATTAATGGAAAATTTAAAATTTTACGTGTTTTCCGCACTGAATTCTGGGGAAAAAATATTGTTTATCCAAGCTGGGAAAATCCTGCCGGGATTTTGGCTCTGTTTTCCCTTGTCTCAGGAGGAAAAAGTTGGGATTTTATTCCCCTCCCTGAAATTCCTTATTTTCCTTCGGGCACGGAATTCCCAGAGGAGCTGCGGCTGCCCCTGGATCCCTGGGAGTGTCCAGGAAAAAGCTGGGAATGAGCTGGGATAGGGAAACATTCCCTGCCCATGGAATGGGATTTGAGTTCCTGCCCAAACCATTCCCTGAACGCTTCCAGGCTTGGAGCATCCCAGATTTTTGGGAATTTTTCCCTTCCCTGGCTCCCTGTGGGATTTTTTCTCCCCCTGCTCCATTCACCATGAATGGTTGGGATCGCGTTGGAGCCGTGTCCGGCCCGGAATTCCGGCACTTTTAGGGAAGAGAATCCCTCCTGGAGCAGCCGTTCCTGGACCCGGAGGATCCAATCCTTCCCGCCGGGGGGAATATCCAGGGAATCCGTGCCGGCACAGGGAATCCCTGGGAATATTTGAAGCTCAAACCGCTTGGATTATCCGTGGCAGATCCCAAATCCCGGGAACAGGGACAGGACAAGGGAAAACGGCTCCGGGCTGGGCCGGGGAAGCCGAGGTGGAATTTTGGGAACAATTCCCCATGGAAAAGGCGCTCAGGCCTTGGAAGGGGCTCCTGGGGAGTTCGGGGATCTCCATCCCTGGAGTTTTCCAAGGAATTCCTGGATGCGGCGCTCCGGGAATTGTCCTATTCCCGCTTCCCGCGTCTTGGATTCCATGATCCCAGAGGGGCTTTTCCAACCTCAGTAATCCCTGGATTCTGTGATCTCAGAGCTGGAGGAATCCAAGCTAATTCCCTCTTTTCCCGCCCCCTCTTCCCGACAATCGGGATCCGCCTCCGGGCAGGATTTGCCTTTCACGCTCCGCTGTTTCCCATTTATTCGGTTTCGCTCCATCTCTTTTCCAATTATTTTTCCCTTCCTTCCTTGACGGATTCCGCAAATCCTCTGCTGGATATTCCAGAGGCTGGGCACAGCTCCCCGATTAACCGGGAATGTTCGTGCTCCGCGCTGCATCCCCAAGGATTTCATCCCGGAGGTCTCCCCCAGCCTGGGAGGGGAGGGAATCCCCGGGAACGGGGGAGCCCGAATTCCCAGGAGCTGAAGTTTCCTGGGATAATTTCGGACAGGCCCCAAGGGAGGAGCTGCTCCCATCGATTCCAGGGAATTCATGGAATTTTGGGTGGGAAGAGGCCTGGAAGCTCATCCCGTTCCCTTCCCTGATCCCAGGGCGCTCCAAGCCCCGTCCAGCCGGGCCTCGGGCACTTCCACAGCTTCTCTGGGAATTCTGTGTCTGGGCCTTCCCAGTTTTTTTCCCAGCACTTGGAAAACCCCTCGGATCGACCTGTGGCTCTTTTCCAGACTTGTTTTCCCCCTTTTCCTGTGGCAAATGCCATCCCAGTGTTTAAGGGAATCCCTGGATTCGCGTCGCTCCCCACAATTTCTGCCTTTCCTTGGATTTGGAGCGGATTTCCTTGGATTCGGTGGATCCGGAGCCCCCAGGGCACATCCAGGATGGAGCTGGGACAGGGATGAGGGAGCCTGGCTGGAAAAATTCCCATTTTTTCCCTCCTCTCCCTGGGAAAAGGAGCCAAGGGCTGTTGGTGCAGAGCCCCGAAAAGTGGGAATGGGAGAATTCCTGGGGCCGGGGGTGTATTCCTGCAGAATTCCTGCCGGGAAAGGGCTGTCCGGAGGTGGAACCCCCATTCCTGGAGGGAATCCATGTGGATGCGGGGACACGGGTCAAAGGGCGCTGGGAATTCTTGGATTTGGCGATCTCCGAGGATTTTTCCAACCTGAGCAGCTCCTTGATTCCATAACCTTGGGATTTCCAGGGAATTTTAGCGCCAGATCCGATCCCTGGAGCATCAAAACCTTTGGAAAACCAACCAAAGAGGGGAAAAAGCGGGGGAAGGACAAAATCCCACCCCCGCAGGGAGAGCCTGGGATAAATCCCGCTGCGGGATCCGGAGCGATGCCGGATCCGGTGGCGCCGTTTCCCGTTTCCTTCTCCATCCCCACGATTTTTCCTTGGCTTCCTTGGCTCTGCAGACAAATGGAAGCCGGGAATAAATAGCTCGGGAATGAGAGTTGGGAAGTGCTGAGGAGGCACCGGCTCCTTCCTGGGAATTTGCTGGATGAGCAAATTCTCTTCCCCTGGTGCTCGATTCCGCTCTGCCGCTCCTGGGAGCGATCCCAGATCCTGGATCCACTCCTCTGGAGCATTCCCAAGCCGGGAATGGGAAAGGAGAGGCTTGGGAAGGGGGGATGTGGGAATTCCAGAGGTCCTGGGGCTTGGAAAACCGGGAATGCAGGGGGTTGGGCGGACAGAGGGATTTGCCTTGGGAAGCAAGAAGAAAATAAGGAAGGGATTGTATTTTATGGGATCATGGAATGGTTTGGGTGTGGAGGGAATTTTAGGATCATCCCATTCCTACCCTGACACCTCCCACTACCCCAGGGTGATCCAGCCTGGCCTTGGACATTCCCAGGGATCCAGGGATTCTCTGGGAATTCCTCCCCAAGCTCCCAGCTCCCCTTTCCCAGTGGGAAGCCATTCCCTGGCTCCTGGCCCTGCGGCCCTTTCCCAAATCCCAGCTCTCCCGCAGCCCCTGGAGCCTCGGGAAGCGGCTCCCAGCATTCCTGGGATCCTTCCCTGATCTGGCTGCACATTCCCAGCTCTCCCAGGCCGGCTCTGCATTCCCTGGATCCTCATCCAAAGGATGCATTTCTCTTTTCCACGTGTGTATCCATAAGAGCTGGCACTGGGCTCATCCTTAGGGACATCCCGATAAAACAGCCCTGAGCCTTTTCCTGGGAAAAGCGGCCGCTCTCCATCCTCATCCTCTCCACTGCAGCTCCTGGAACTCTCCTGCCCCATCCCGCTCCTCCTGTTCCCAAACCGCTCCTGGATCTTCCCATGCCTCATTTTCCCAGATAATCCTGGCTCATCCATCTCCTCCTTTTCCTGAAAACTCCTGGATCATCCTTGTCCTTATTTTCCTGAACACTCCTGGCTCATCCCTCTCCTTTTCCCAAAATGATCCTGGCTAATTCCAATTCCCCATTTTCCCAGCTAATCCTGGCTCTTCCCTCTCCTTTTCCCAAACCGCTCCTGGCTCATCCCTCTCTTCCTTTCCCAAACTGCTCCCGGCTCATCCCTCTCCCTTTTCCCAAATAATCCTGGCTTCCATCTCTTCCTTTTCCTGAAAACTCCTGGATCATCTTTGTCCTTTTCCTGAACACTCCTGGTTCCTCTCTCTCCTTTTCCCAACTAATCCTGGCTCATCCATCTCCTCCTTTTCCCAAAACGATCCTGGCTCATCCCTCTCCTTTTCCCAACTAATTCTGGCTCATCCCTCTCCTCCTTTTCCCAAAAAACTCTTGGATCATCCTTGTCCTTCTTTTCCTGAACACTCCTGGTTCCTCTCTTTCCTTTTCCCAAAATGATCCTGGCTCATCCAATTCCTGCCATTCCCAAAATGCTCCCAGCTCATCCCGGCTCATCCCTCTTCTTTTCCCAGACTTTCCGCTGGCCGGTGGCGAGCAGCATTGATGGGAATGAGCTCCTGGAGATCCAAGTGTTCAACTACAGCAAGGTCTTCTCCAACAGGTGAGTCCCT